TAATTATTAAATTCAATAATAATTTTGTAACTTTGTTTAATAAATATGTGTAATATTATATGCAATTTACTTTCAACTCCTAAGTTTATCTTACATTATTTGCAAGCTTATTTTTGAATTATGTGTAACTCAAAATATTTAAATTAAAAAAAAAAAAACTGATATTGTATTTAATTTTTATGGAATTATTTCATTATTGTAACTGTACAAATTGATATAAATTATCAACTCTGGAAAAACAACAAAAATTCCTATCACCACTTAATGTATTGCTTTCTTCTTCTTGCTTATTATCTTATTATGTTGTTATTTTTCTTTTCTCACATATTCTTATTGTATATTTCTATTTAAATGAGCACAAATTGAGTATTGTAAAAACTTGAAATTAATCCTAAAATCAATGCAATATCATCTAGGCCATAACAAAATGTCACTTCTCAGTGAAATTGGTAAAGGATCATATGCACGTGTAGTGAAAGTGAGATCAGATAGCGAAAATGCTATAGAAAGAGCGCTTAAAATTCAAAAACCTGCGTGTGCTTGGGAATGGTATATAAGTAAAGAAATTCAGCATCGTCTTAAAGATTCTGAGAAAGTAAACAACTTTCATTATTRTACACAAATACATTTTTTTTTTTTTTTGTGTGTATTATGCTGACTTTATTTTTATTTTTTTCGGCTAAGGTATTGGCATATTTCATAAACATGGATCAAATGTATGTATTCAAAAATGGGTCAATAATTTCTATGGAATTTGCTTCTCATGGGACATTATTATCTGTGATTCTAGCTTACAAATTGTCGATGGTAAGTMCAAATAAAATTTATATTGTATACCATAACCCAAATGAGTTTGATTTATTTGGTACTACTGCTTATATATTTTCAATGATTAGAATTGTTGATTCTATATAATACCAAAAATGTATGGTTTACAGAACCGTTCCATCCCTATAACTGTTGGTGCACTGCTCATTTTACAAGTAACATCAGCACTCAAATACCTTCACCAATGTCAAATCATTCATGGAGACTTAAAACCAGATAATGTCATTGTTAAAACATTGTGAGTTTCTTTTATGTACCTTATA